CTGATTCATCCGTAGGCCAACCTCTGACTTAGTTGCTTTTGACTTCCAGGTCATTAAACCCTTTAAGGTACATGGCACGACCTTTGAATAGATCACCAGTATTGGGTCTGCCGTTGAAAATGTTTTTCGCTATTTTCATTCTTCTGTCGCACTGGCTATATAAACAAATTTCAAAGAAGCCTTGGTCAGATTAAGATTGTAATGAGTTTTAAGAAATTCTAATTTCGCTCTTTGATCTCGCCAATGGTCCACTGGCTCAACTTGGGTAGACATCCGGTCTAAATTACTTAAATCGAGGCCACATAAGTTGGCAATTACCTCAACGCCCAGGGTACGGCTATATCTTTGAGCAACGGCAAATGCACCTGAATCCCGTAAAAAAAACGTTTCTGTAAACACTACTGTTTCCAAGCATCTGCATATCCAATTGCAGATCTATTTCTTCAATTGAAGATGGACTTGATGACGAAAAGAATACGCAGCTCTCTATTGTAATATCATTTGTGGCTGATGACTCTTGGGTTCCACCATTGAATTCCACTAGAATTCTGTTAAAATACAGATACTTCAGCGAAACAAACTTTACTGGTGAAGTACTATATAATTGTATAGCGTGCGGATTCGACGCCTTGATAACTACAATACCGCTGTGAGTTTCATGAAGTTCAACCGAGCCACTGATAGTAATATCACCACTGACCAGGTACTCACCACGAGAGAAGAAAACCTTGTTGTTGGTGGAACCTGCAACGTGGTTAACAATGGCCTGAATGGCAGATGTGTCGTCAGCCGTTTTTCCATCTCCAACAACAGCAGTTAAGGAACCTCCAGGTTGCTTTACATTAGTCATTGCAGTAGGTACGTCATCTGATCTTTTCAGGTTGTTTGGGGCTAAGAGCACAACGAGAATGGAAATCATTAACGATGGTACTTGCAGTCAAGGGTGGTGGCATACCGACCTTTATGACTCTATATTCAAAACAGCTTGGAGCTGCAACCGATCCAAAGCAAGTGAAAAGCTCTAATAAGTTTCTACGTTTTTATAACGATGGAGGAATTTGTTGAGGTTTGCATTTCTTTCCTCAAAACTAATCAAAACTGTCTTTATTTGTGGCGGTTAATCTGAAATTTGAGGTTAGAAATGATTCGCTTCGCTATCGCATAATGTTACCACAGCGTAGTTTCAAATCTGTTTCTAAATACTGGATGTAGATTGTTGTGAAAATAAAAAGGAAAAACGTAGAAGATTTGAAGGCCTTTCTTCAACAATAGCCGCCATATTGGATGATTATTGCATTTGAGCTGAAATCAAGGAGCGGAGCCAAAATATCTCTTTATTTTATCGCGCGCCTTCGTGTTTCAACGAAGCTGCACTTGCAGAGGTAATATGAGTGAAGAATGAACTTGTACAAACAGTATTTCAATAAGTATTAAACAATTAATTTAGAAGATTTACAAGTATTTCTTTCCCATTTCTTTCGCGTGAAATATAAACGGCAAGCAAGTCTTTACTTTTGCCCCTATTTAATAAAATATACTGCGTTACAACTTCATTCATTCTCTGTGTATTTATCGTAAAATTCACGACGTTGAATTCGTAAACGAAGATTGGTGACCAGAGGTA